GTGTGTGTGTGTATGTATGTCTGCGTGTGTGTGTGTATGTATGTCTGCGTGTGTGTGCCTGTGTGTAGGTCTCTCCCCCCAGCACAGCCCCCATCATGCAGTCACACGGTACCTCGGCAGTCTCACACATTCCCTCTCTCTCACGCCACTCTGCCCTCGTGTCTCTCATGCAGAACCCAGTAAACCCCCCCCCCCACATTTCAGATGGCACCAGACCCGCAGCTCCTGTCTGACACCGTGAGACGATAACGCCTGGAAGACGTTGCCGGGGGACGCCGGCTGGAGCATGGTCCTGCGACAGTGGGGAGGGGGGGGGGTCCCCATGCTCAGACTCATGCGCGGAGATTCCCATTTAGATTGCGGGGGTGGCTGCCTCCCGCGGTCGCGTGCATGCAGTGGTGGCGGCGGCACTGCCAGTGGGGTACCTTACTATTAGCTCTGTCCTTCCTGAGCTTCCTGTCCTTCCTGAGCTTCCTGTCCTTCCTGTCCAGAGTCTCTCTCCTGCCCAGAGCGGAGCCCATTGCGCAGAGTCCCGGGAGCGGAGCGCTGGCCGCACGGGGACGTGCCCGGCCCCCCCAGCCCCATCCGCCAGCCTCGGCGGCTTCGCTCTAAGCCGGGCAGCGCACGCAGCCCGAGACGCAGCGAGCGATGCGGCTGGATCCGGACGCAGGGAGTGTGCGAGAGAGAGAGAGAGGGGGGAAGAGAGACAGGGAGAGGGAGAGGCAGGGTGGGGCGATGGCAGGGTGGGGGAGAGGCTGGAGGGGCTTTGGAGGCAGTGAGCGCACACACAGACCCCACTGCTCAGCGCGTGGAGAGACATCAGGATTCCATTCAGTAGCCTGGGGGGTGGCGCTGGGCATCCAACTGGACGGGCTGAGTACTGTGTACCAATTACTGAGTGCCGAGTACTGAGTACTGTGTACCAATTACTGAGTGCCGAGTACTGAGTACTGTGCACCCACAGTTTGGGGCGGCTCCCACTTGTCCTGCATCTCTCTGAACCTCTTCACACTCTAACATCTTTTTCTCCCATCATTCTCCTTGCCACCACCACAGCCAACACCCCCATAATTCCCTGTTTGCTCCCCAGGGGATCTATAATCTGCCCGGGTGCCTCTAAAATGTGAGCACACTCGTGGCAGGTGCTGATGTGTGTGAGTAAGCGTGCAAGCCAATCACACGTGTGGGCTCACACAGCGCATAGATCGCCCCCGCGTGGCAATCGCAGGATTCCCTGCAGCCTCAGCGGGGCTCTGGTAATTACCGAGTGCCATGACCACTGGCTCTGGAGCAGCACCAGAAATCGGATGCATGTGCAGAACATGGATATGTACACACATGTTAGGGGGGTGTGTGGGGGTGGGAGGGTCATTCATCCAGTAGGTGGGGGGCTATGGGGAGGACATTATGCCTGACAGTTGAGAGGACAGTAGTTCTGCACTG